TCTTTTGGTAAGTTACTTTTTAGGGACCCCTTAGAAAAATGTGTGGCCACAGGAGAGAAACTCGCTGTGCCCAAGGTGGAGCTCCTGATGTCCCCCAAAGCCATGCAAAACGCCAACGGCCCCATTGGGTGACCATGCTCAAATAAGTCTTTACTCTCCAGAGAGGACAAAAAAGCTGTTGAGCAGGGTGGAAGGTCCTGAAGAGCATGGGGGCAATCTCCTGCTCCAAATATGCTACCGCCTGTGCCTGAAGAGGAATCTCCATCAGGGCTGCCCTGGAGGGCGGTTCTGATTCAGTGCAAGAGAGGGTGGGAAAGCGCGAGGAGCCTTCCCAGCCAAGAGTAATTAGCTCTAGTGAGTAGCAGACACACAACACAAGGGCAATCTGTCACTGGAAAGCAGTTTGGGACAGGAAAATGAAAAACATGTGACCTCCTTGAAAAGAGAAGGTGGATTGAGGAAGGCAGATCAAAATTACATGCAAAAAATTTGGCCGGGCTTCTGTGCTGGCAATTTTTCCCTGTTATGACTGCAGATGGGTAGAGTCTCCCTCTGGTTTCTAAAGGGGTACTGAACTAGATTTTTCTGCAGTTATTAGCTCTGAGTTTCTGCCCAGATCTCATAAAAATGGACCTGATCCTCTGCTCTGCCATGGGTACAACTCAGGTAGCAGCTGAAGCGAGCAAGCCGGAGCGTTGCCATTAATACATTTGCAGGTCTGGAGAAGTTTGGCTGTTGGCTCAACCTGTTGTAACTCATTGAGCAAATGGTTTGATCTACATGTTCCTCAATATTTCAGATTGCTACAACAGTGTGAATGATGTCTGCCAGGTCATAGAATCATAGAATCCCAGAATGGTTTGGGTTGGAAGGGACCTTAGAGATCATCTAGTTCCAACCCCCTGCCATGGGCAGGGACATAATGAATAGCTGGATGTGAAATAATTAAGAAAGAAGTAAAAGAGAGAAGCAGCAATTGTGTCATTGGGAGGGCTTGAGATAGAAACCCCAGCATTAAGTCACTGTGAGTGTTTGATGTATACACAGACATCACTGAACTGAAATTACATCACTTACATTAATTCAGGCTATTTAGTCAGAAAAACTAGATCTCAGCTAAATGAAGAGTATAACCAGATGTGTAACTTGTACTAGATCACAGGGAGGCAGAAGCAGGAGGTGCAGTAGCATGGATGAGGGCCCAGCAGTGGCCTTTGTTTGGTGATTTCCAACTTTTTATTGTGGTGTCTTCCTAGTTATTTAGAAAGCTTTTTATCCTTTTAGAAAACAGCCATAGGAAAGTGATGAGGATGACTGGGACTGTCCAATACTTGCTGATCAGGCTGTATCTATTGGATGTGGTAATGATCATAGAATCACAGAATGGTTTGAGTTGGAAGGAACCTTAAAGGTCATCTAGTTCCAACCCCCTGCCATGGGCAGGGACACCTCCCACTAGCCCAGGTTGCCCAAAGCCTCATCCAGCCTGGCCTTGAACCCCTCCAGGGATGGGGCATCCACAGCTTCCTTAGGCAATGATGAGTTGCAGGCTGTGGTTCCTCCTCCTTGGCTGGATGAACAGGCAGATACTTCGGACCAGTAAATATCCCCTTTGCCTATGAATTAAAGGGACATTTGTTCCCTGTAAAAAAATAAATCATTAGGGCACAATTACTTTAATGTTCCTGGAAAACAGACCTAGAGAAGCGTGTGACAACAGGGGCTCATCCTTTTAAAAAGTTGTATGTCAACATGGCAAATTTTGTAAAAGTATTTTTTGTGCAGTATTTTGTACTCTAGCAAGGTATTGCATGCACTCCCTTCCATGCTGCAGCAGCTCAGCATGCTGCAGGATTGAGCCCTAATTGCCTGGCTGCCTGGAGGATGCAGCAAGAATAACAGTAATGTCTTGGCTGACATCAAAGAAATTAGGAGTTAAGGACAATAAAAGGTGAGTCTCGTTTCTGTACTTCCAGACCTCCAGAGAATTCAAGGAAGTAGATAATGATTTCTTATTCTTCTTTGTAAGTAAGAAACAAATCATTTTATTTGTCAGTCTGTGTTTGGATGGTGGGAATTTTTTTTTCTCTCCTTTAGTGGTATTTATCAAACTATTTATGATGCCATTGTAGGAAATGTGCTGAATTTATTACCAAGGTTTCCTAAAGGTGAGATACGTCTGAGATCTGTATTTTCAGAGCTTTGTAAGATCTGGGGTGTGGGAACTGATAAATGCATTCAGCAAAAAATACTAAGGAGCTTTTACTGGAAATCTGCTGCTGGCAGGGATTGGGGAATTAATTGATTTAGAAGTAATTGGATAGACTTCAGTTGAAATGAATCCTAATTAAAGCAAAAACACAGGCAGAAGAGAAATATAAGGACACCTCTGAACAGTACAGATTATGTAGATTAGACCCAAGCAAAGCACAAGGTGACTTTTCATCCTGAGGTTGGGTTTTGTTTTTTGGTTTGTTTTTTGTTTTTGTTTTTGTTTCAGTTTACTCAGTTTGGAGAAATGAAGCTAAGATGGTTGATGCTGCTGTCTGCTTAAATTCCTTTTCCCTCTCTGGTTTCTAGAGCGTGGTTGGGTACCTGTCCTTGCAGGGACACATCTCATGGTCAGCAACATCCATTGCAAATACTTCATGTTATCGGTGTCTTTAGATGCAATTTAAGTCTGGAGCCAGGGCTGCTCTCTTTTACAGTGTATTTTTTTATTATTTTAAGGGGGCATGGGAGAAAGCACTGTGGACCCTGGTGTGTATTGGTGAATGCGGTGTGTGGTACCTAATGCCATCAACAGTCATTGATCTGCCAGGTGGAACGGAGAGTGGCTTCAGGACAGTTTTGTAGGTCTGAGCATCTGCATGACAAGGATGAGATGGGAAGCCATCCCTCCCTCTTCCAAAGCACATTTCCCTCTCTAGCACATCTTCAAAAATCAAGAAGGATTATTTGAGAACCTGGTTTTGTCAGCCTCCCTTCAGCTTGGGACAATCATAGGGCACATCCTCTTGGAAGCTGTGTCTGGGCACATGGAGGAGGAGGTGACTGGGAATGACCAGCATTCATTTACCAAGGGTCAATCATACTTGACCTGTGTGATGGTCTTTAAGGATGGTCTGGTAGATCTGTGGATGAGGGGAGAGTAGTGCACGCTACCTTATTTGACTTCAGTAAGGCTTTTGAGATGACGTCCTGCAGCATCCTTCTATCAAAGATACAAGAGAAACTGCAGTCATAGAATCATAGAATCACAGAATGGTTTGGGTTGGAAGGAACCTTAAAGATCATCTAGTTCCACCCCCCTGCCATGGGCAGGGACACCTCCCACTAGCCCAGGTTGCCCAAAGCCTCATCCAGCCTGGCCTTGAACCCCTCCAGGGATGGGGCATCCACAGCTGCTCTGGGCAACCTGGGCCACTGCCTCACCCCCCCGCACAGGAAAACATTTCTTCCTAAATAATAAATAAAAGCTTGTGGCAGGGAAGGCTGCAGTGGTGCTTGATGGGCGAAAATAAATGTAGCACATGGGCAGAGGACTGTGTGAGTCAACAGGCAGCAGACAGAAAGGCCAAGGTGGTGCCTGGAGAACCATTGCAGCGTAGGCTGCTGTCATCGCTGGATGGGGAGGTGGCCATGCATAGATCATGGCTTTTTTCATCCTGTGAGATTGTGGGGGAAGCAATGATGGGAAGAGGTGATGTTTGGTTGAGTGGGAAGGCTTCCCAGCCCAGCAGCTGTGAGCCACAGCTTGAGGTTTGTATCTGGCATTCCCCAAACGAGTATTGCCCGGCAGGGACCTGCTGTGGGTGAGCCTTTGTATAATCCCTGTAATATGTTTTAAGAAATTCTGTCTGTCTAATTTTACCACTATGTAATGGGCTTTATTGTGCAGTAGTGCATGCAACACCTGGTTATAAATGTTGTTCAGAGCTCTTCCAGGGAAATCCTTAGGGGTTTTCTTTAAGCGCTCTCTCCTCTAACACTTTATTGCTGGTAAATTCGGGCTGTGACGGATGGGAAACTTTGCCTGACTCTGCAGTTTCTCTCCCCTCTTGCTTTAGTCCTGCATACAAATGCGGCAGGTCCCTGGGGAGCAGCCAAGGCTGCACCACTCAGGTGCGGTAGCCAGCAGCACCGCGTAAATGTCAAACCTACTTCCCTGTTATGGCACAGAGAGGCTGCAATCCCATCTCCTAGAGAGTCCATCTCCTGCTTCCCAGGGCTTTTCTCTCCTTCCCTGAATGTGAAGACAATCAGCAGGAGCATCTTTGCCTCTTGAGGACACCTGGGCCAGCAGACAACAGTGGAAGACCTTGGCTCCCCTAATTCCCCACTCAGCCCCTCCATGGGTCTGGGGCAGGCTGTCTCCAGCAGGGATTGGGTTTTGTGAAATGTAGATATTAGGAGGAAATTTTTTACTGTGAGGGTGGTGAGGCAGTGGCCCAGGTTGCCCAGGGAAGCTGTGGATGCCCCATCCCTGGCGGGGTTCAAGGCCAGGCTGGATGAGGCTTTGGGCAACCTGGGCTAGTGGGAGGTGTCCCTGCCCATGGCAGGGGGGTGGAACTGGATGAGCTTTAAGGTCCCTTCCAACCCAAACCATTCTGTGATCCTATGATTCTATGGGCCACCATCTTGAGCTGATGAGCCCGTCAAGGAGAGGGAGCTCATCCATCCCTAGGGTCAAGCGTAAGATCGTAGTTGGTTGTTTACAAGACAGAAATGCTGAAATGTGTGGTTAGTCTGAAGAAGTTTTGTATTTTTGTGTATTTATTCAATTTGGGGGCTTTAGTCTCAGTCAAACATCACCAGAGTGGAAACTTTTCTGAACGCCACCATGAAAAGGGCACAAGAATTATCTTCATAGTGGTCCCAGACAGCTCTCAAGCTCTGCTTCTTTGACCTCCCTTGCCAACCTGGGCTTGAAAGCTCAGCAAATCCTGCTTGAACTAATCTGCTGCTCTGTCCATCTCTTTCAGCAGCTGGGAGCAGAGATGGATAAGATACTGGAAGCCGTGGTGATGTCCTCATACCCCAACAATGTGAAGCAAGGGCTTGTGAGGCGTGTCATCGAGGCAGCGAAGCAGCCCATGGACAGTGAGCAATGCTGGTCCATGCTGGAGCTGTCTACCAAGCTTTATCTCACAGGGGACACCAAGTATAAAAGAGAGATTGGGAAAGAAGTGTTGGAGGTCTATGGCCACTACCACCCAGAGGAATTTGAGGAGTTTCTGCTGAGTCTCCTCCAGGAAGGTTATGGACCTCTGGGGAAGAGAAGCCATTATGTACTCGATTATATCCAATTAGGACTGCAGTTCATCTTGGAAAGCCCATCAGCAAACAGCATCTTCAGCTTATTGAGGATTGAGGTGCTCCGGAAAGTCTGTGAGAGGCCCAGCCCCAAGCAGTGTGCGAAGATCAGCAGACTCTTAACCCAGCATCCCCAGTGCATTCCCACGGGCAAACACCAGGTCTTGTTTTGTCAGCAGCTGATCCGGTGCATCGGGCAGTTCCAGTGTGTCTCGGAGGGGGAAGAGGACATCATGGAGTTTTTGGAGCATGTGAACAAAGTGAGCGGGCTGCTGCAGAGGATCTGGAGGACTCAGACCTCAGCCATCCTGCCCTCTTTGAAGGAGCTCTTCACAATCATTTCTTCAACAGGTAATTTAAAAAAAAAAAAGGCTGTGAATGTAAATGTTGGCTCTGATTAAATCAGATTTGATTAGTTTGACGACTTGCATGGTTCTCATCCACTCCAGAAACGCAGCCACAGCTGAAATATAATAAACAAGCATCCCTAAAAGTTACCCAGGGCTTTAAGCTAGGAAAACAATATCCCCTGAAACCACACACAGTCTGTACACAGGAGCTGTTAACTGGGTTGAAGCATTTACAGCACAAGTTTGTGTGTTCAGCACTTTCCAGCATCAGCTGGGCTTAATGGAAAGCACCTTATCTGCAGCAGGTTAGAGTGGGACTTGAAAGCTTTTAGAAATGTCACTCTCCTATGGCTGACTTGATGGGACCACACAGCCTGCTCCTCAGCAGAGGCTAGGGACAAAGCTAAGGAGTAATTTCTCACCGATCTAGAGGTAGGAAGCCCTACTATCTGTCTGGAGGGTGGTTGTATCTTAAGGTGGGACAAAAGATATTTATGCAACTTCTAGGGCCTTTAGGTTATTGCAGAGCGTCTCAGAAGATTTTTGGAGGTACCAGTACCATGAAAGGCTGGACTCTCTGCCAGCAGGTGAGCTCCTGCTCCAGCTATTCTCCATGAGGTGATGGGGTTTTCAGTGCCCTCTGTATGCAAGCCTCATCCTTTGGAAGGTGCTCCAGGCAAACAAACCTGCAGCTGCATCCCGTTGCAATTATTTGCAGTACTTCGTATAAAGAGAGCACGCAGAGGAAATTCGGGACCCAGCGTTGGCCAAGAACGTTCCTGTGCCTGTGATCATTTCCTCTGTTTGGGCTGTGTGTGGCTTCATGCAACAGCCCATCTGCTATGACCAACCTCATTATGTGCTACACTGGAATTTGGGGAATTGTCCTCCTAGCACAGCTAAGTGCAGACTCCACGTTGCTTGTTTACACCAGTTCCGTTTACATAGGCAGAAATGATTTGGCTTTAGAGATGAGAAATGACCTTATATGCTTGGTTTTCCCCTTGACTAACATCTTCATTGTGGGTGCTCAACCATGTCTTGCAGAGGAGCAGGAAGCACCATCCAACGCCTTGGCCAGCGTGGTCCAATTTGTCCCTCTGGAGCTCATGGATGGCGTCATAAGAAACCTAACCAACGATGACAGCATCACCGATGTGCAAATGATGACGGCCATTGGCAGGTAGGAGAGGCTGCATTAGTGAACATCATTCTCAGTTTGGAGAAAAGCCTGCCCCAAACCTGCATGTGGTTCCTTTGCATGGTTTTATCCCAACCAACTTGGCCTGTGCTGTCTAGTGAGGAGTGTGTGGGGAAAAAGAGAATTTCTGGATCCTTCCTTCCAGCCCTGAGGGCCAAGAGACCTAGAATAAAGACTTGTTATTGGTATTATATTGGTTTATTTTTTCTCAGAAATAAGTAGTGTTATGGCAACATAAGATATCTTGAAGAGTTTTAATTTTTTTTCCAGACGCTGTTGAGGGCCTTTTCTTCACAAAAATCTCCTTTACAAAATTAAATGTTGACCCCTGGCTCCTTTCAGAAGGACATCATCCTAAATCACCAGCCACAGCTAAAAATCTTGGAGAGGGAGGTATGCCCAGCTGTTTCGATGATCCCACCTTGATCTTTGTCAGATGAATGTGGTGCTGCTGGGCTGGATCTTGGTCCCATACAATGTTTATCCCTGCCCTCTCTGCAGGCAGAGTCAACGGAGACATTAAGGCACGATGAAGAGTAGTGGGTCAAATACTACCTGACATCCTAGACCTGATCTTTGCAGAGCCAGTGCTTTCTGTGGCATCACCAGTTCTTCCTTGTACACTTATGTCCAAGTCCCACAGCTCCTCTATGCTCCAATGCCTTGCTCCAGACTTGTTTAGGAGTTTCTTCAGCCCATGCTTGCCTTAGAGGTTTCCATTTGAATGGGTGACGCTCACATGCAGTAGCACTTGTGCTTAACCCAAGGGAGCTGCTGTGACTTGATCTCGCTGGAAACACATCTTTTCTTATTGCAGGGTTTGTGTCTCCCCCCAGTAGGATCATAGGATGGTTTGGGTTGGAAGGAACCTTAAAGGTCATCTAGTTCCACCCCACTGCCATGGGCAGGGACACGTCCCACTAGCCCAGGTTGCCCAAAGCCTCATCCAGCCTGGCCTTGAATACAACAAGGTTCCATGACAGAAACACACATTATTCCTGACGGGAATTTATGTATACAGAGAGAGGTTGCTTCTTTTTGGCTTGCTGGGGAAGGTCATGGTTTTCTCAGAGTCCAGAGCAACCCAAGACAAAAGATTAAGTTATCAGTTCAGTTCTTAAACCTCTTCTCCATCTTTTTCTCCTTCTGGGAATCTGCTGCTGTGAGCTCCAGGCAATAAATCCTCTAAGAGTGCCAGTGTCTACATACAGAAGTTGCAAAATCAATTGCATCGTTCCTTAAAACATTCTTTGTCGTGTAGCAGGATGAATAAATGATTACTCAGAATTAGACAAACATTAAGCAGAGCCTGCAAAATATAAGAGCACTTAGGAGAAATGCGGAAGTTCTGGCGGCGTGTTTACAGCCGACGGGTGCCCCAGAAATCTGCACAACTTTTTGATGAGTGTCTGCTCCATGCCTAGAAAATAATTAAAAAAAAAAAAAAGTACAAGTTGAAAGGATCTTTCAGCTTAGGATCCCTGCCAAACTGGTTGCTTACAGAGGTCTCTTCCTCCAAGGTTTGTGTCTGGGAGTTAGGAACAGACGAATAAACTGGGTGTGGGGTGGAGCTTCTGATCAAGCACTTAAAGAAAGCTTTGAGTGGTAAAAAAAGCAAGCCTGGCACCTGCTGGTGTAAGTGTACACCACAGTCTCTTTTAGAGCATTTCTTTTAAGAGTTTGTCTCTTTTCAGATAAACTCTATTAATGTGTATCCATGACTTCAGAAGTACTCACTGTTTTGTTTTTTATTTTTCTGGGGGTGTATCTGTTCCAAAAAGCCCAGGTCCAGATGAAGAAGGCATCTGCCATCATGCAGCAATGCAGGCACTTGCCACCTCTGGGAACCAGGATTTGAGCTTTTAGAAGTTGAGCATACCAAATCAATCGCTCTCCTGGAAAATTAGGGCCCTGGCTTCCAAAACATTTATGGATCTTGCAATGTGGAAAGTTCAATGTGAATTTAAAGTGTAATTTCCTCCTGTAACTTAGCCACTAGTGCAGGTAAAAAATAGCTTACAGTGGATAAGGTTATGCCTATGTAAAAAAAGATTGGGTAAATAGGAACCTTTGGATCTTCGGCTCCATCTCCCTGCTTTATAGGCGTCAGCATCGCAGACCCCTTTCATGACTGTTCAACTTACATTCCTCAAAGCAGGAAGGGCTTTTGCTCCCACTGCTCTTCTTTCATAGATGTTCCACCACTGGGTTGCTTTAATGGTTTAAATCTCTTTTCTAATAGCCAACCTATATGTACTTCTTGCCATCTTATATTTCGTTTTATCTTATGCCAACATAAATAGCTGAAAGAGCTTTTTTTTCCCTCCCTGGTGTTTATTCCTTCAATGTATGCAGGCAGAGCAGTCCCTTCCCATCTCTGCTTTCCCGTGGCTGAGCTAAACAAGCCAGGTTATTTTCTTGCAGGAAATGTTCTTCATTTTCCCGACTGCCTTAACAAACTTTTTCAATACCTGCTCCCTTCAGTTCGTTGGTTTTGGACATGGATGGTGATGTTTGTGCACCATGTTCCAGGTGCAGTTCATCATGGCCTTACACAACATCTTGAGATGTCATTGTTTTCCCATAGAAAACACATTTTCTTTTGCACCACAACATGATGCTTGTCTTTTCCATGGCTACTGTTACACTAGGAACTCATAGTCACCTGATGTCTGGCTGCTTGTCTTCAAACAGATGAGCTACTGTCATGAAGCATCCATTTCTTGTGCCTTGGATGCATTTTGAATCAATAAACTTCTTCCCAGTTCTACATTTCTAATCCTCAAGGTCTTCCTTGTGGTACCTTGATCCTTCTCTTGTGTTGATGGTGCCTTCCAGCTTTGCATCATCAGAAATTTCACAGCCATGTTCAAGATGTTTGTGCTAACATCATTAGATCCTGAAGAACATTGCTTGTAACCTCCCTTCAGATAGCCAGTCAGATATCACCTACTTCTGTCCTTTGACTAGAAATTCATATATCCTGACAAACCTGACTTTGGCACCTATGGTCACTCCCTGTGGCATGCTATCCCTTCTTCCCTGCCATACCCTTATTGCCTGTCTTCATGAAGGAACTGTCTTCTTATTCTTCTCACATAAAGCACCGTACCAAAGCTAATAGAGTCATTAAAACACACCAGAGTTGAATTTTACATGATGGAAACCACCACCTCCTGTTGCTTGGAGTTCATGAACTCTTCATGTTTCGCTTTCATATCAGCTGATAGTGCTCTTGTTTCCAATCTCCAATCTTTCATCTGCCTCCTCTTTGTCACCCTGATCAATTCCTTCCTCTTGCTGAAAATGGAGACAGAGGATGTGTTTAGTTTGGAAGTCACATCTAGAGACCATATCATATCTTTAATCAGCATCACATCCTCTGTGTACAGTGATTGCACGGGTTTCCATGTTCTCCTCTGATACAAATGTCTGCACAAGCTTTTCTGATATTTGCTTGTATTATCTAACTGGGCTTGAAGGTGGTATTTCTCCACATCCCAACATATTCTGCTTTTCAAGCTTTCTTTACTGGCTAGCCTTTTATTTTTCCAGTTCCTTGTGGACTTCACTTATTCCTGCTCTTTGCCTTGTGGTGATTAGTTATCTGTGTTCTCTTCATATATTTTGCATGAGATACAGGCTGATAAGCAAAAGGGACTGGGATATCTTCAAATCAAAGTTTGTTCCTTGGAGATCCCAAGTCTTAGTTACTTCCCATTTTTGTTTAACATTAAATTTAAACAGAAAAAATGTGTCATCACTCAGTCTGAGATTGTTTTCTTATGAGTGACTTCTGCACTTATTTCTTGCAGAAACATGACAACTTGTTGGTTGAGTGGCTATAGATGAAATTTGTTAGCTGTGACATTCAGGAATATCTGGCTTCTATTAGGGTTATCAGTATTTTTTCAATATGTTTTTGGAAATCGATGTTTCCTACACAGAGAATTAAAAGTTCTAAATCTGAGTGGTTTTTCCTCACCAGTAACAATGCAGAGATCATACCAGTATCACTTGTTTTCTAATGGTGACAATCATAGAATCATTAAGGTTGGAAAAGACCTCAAGGATCATCAAGTCCAACCGTCAACCCAACACCACCTAACTCACTAAACCATGTCCCCAAGCACCACATCTGCACGTTTCTTGAACACCTCCAGGGATGGTGACTCCACCACTGCCCTGGGCAGCCAATACAGAGACCTCAATCAACACCTTGCACAGGTGGTATATAGAGCACTGTACCAGCATTAAAAACTTGAACTCAAGTTGACTGAAGTTAGTGGAAGAACCTCCACTTTCTTCTGTGGACTTGGGTCTGGTCCTCTGACGATCCACAGCGTGATGATGACATTGGGCTAATTCCACTTCAGCCTCTGTTGTGCTTTGAATAACGTGAAATGCCTTATGAAGAGCCCATCTCCTACTTGGTCATCCCACTGACTAGACACAAATTTGGAGCAGGTTTAACCCAGAGCAGAGCTTGGCTTTCACAATATGTGCATTAAATTTACTTTAAGAGTTTGTATTTCATTTCAGGATGATCGACTGGGTGTCCTGGCCCCTGGGAAAGAACATAGACAAGTGGATCATTGCTCTGCTGAAGGGTTTGGCCGCGGTGAAAAAGTTCAGCATCTTGATTGAAGTCACACTTTCGAAAATCGAAAAGGTCAGTGGGCTCTTTTAAATGATGTTCTCCAGAACAACCTGCAGTTGTCTTGCTATGCAGAGGTCCTGATGTGTTAAAGGTTATGAAATAGAAGAAGCCAAGGATTTTCAAGCCAGCTGGCCACTTTCCTTCCCAAACTATGCAGTTCTTGTATGACCTGTCTTTGGGAATGGGACACGCTCTCCTTCAGCTGTGCCTGGACCAGTACTGGTAGGCACAGGCAAAATACCTACCAGTGAGTGTATTAACAATCCACACAGTCACAGGTCAGTTTTAAAGCCTTCAAAAACACTTTCCACGCTGTGGTCCTGCTGTTGCATCCTTTGTATAATGGGGGTAACACCTGGCTGAGCCTCCAGTGGAAGTCACTATAGTCATTATCAAGACTATAATTATCAGTATTGGAACATTATCAATAACTGCATTTGTCCCTGTGATCCCCCACATGCATTGGGCAGTGGGAGAGTAGCCAAGCATCTATGGCTTTTCTTTATTTTTCCTTTCATTGTTAATGCATAGGAAAGGGACATGGCCCTTAAAATGTGTGATTTTTGGAAACTCTCAGAATTATGATCTGAAAGGGGTAGAGGGCATTGTCAGCTTATGCCATTTTCTGTAAAGTAGGATAAATATAGTAACTTAGCCCTCGAAAAAGGCCTTTTCTTTCTATCTCTTTGCCTGAAAGGTTAGTGATGAAGTTGCAAATATCACAATAAAATAGAAGAGACACATTTTAGAAAATCTAGCGTCCCTCTGTGCTTATCCATCAGGAGGTGTGGAGATGCAGTGGCCTTGCAGGAGTCTGCACCTCGTTGTGCCAGGCATTGCACAAGCCTGAGAGAGTAAGAATAACCCACATGGTATTTTTAGGATGCCCTGAAGCCGTGCTCTGGACAAGAGATGACTCTGGTCACCTGGCTGCAAGCTGCTCTCTTCAACATCTGGCATGAAGCAGGGACAGACCAGCAGCTCTGTTAGCTGCTCAGTGCCTCGCTTTCCTGCCAGCCCATCTCCTGAGTATTGTGGCACCAACCCACCTTCTCTTTTCCTTTTTTTTCTCCCTCACCAGGTCTTCTCCAAGTTGCTGTACCCCATCGTGAGAGACACTGCTTTGTCTGTCCTGCAGTACATGCTGCTGAGCTTCCAGCACTCCCACGAGGCATTTCACTTGGTAAGGCTGCATCCAGCACTTGGATGAGGGTATCTCCCTGGGTGTAACCATGTCGTGGGGCAACACGGGTGGGATGGAGCCTAAGGGGCTGAGATATTGTGGAATATTTCCCCCATCTGCTTGATTTCACCATGTGATGTCAACCCAAACCTGTCCACCCACCTGCGTCCTGTCCCAGCAGCTGCTCACCCTCTCCCGCAGCTCAAACAGCTTTTTGGGCACCACAGAGTCGGTGCTGAGATGCAGAGGCAAGTCCTGAGCCTAAAAGGAGTTGGTTGCCACAGATAGATCAATCGTGTAACGTCAGAGAGCGAGTTGCAGAGGTGAAATGGGGCTTTGCTTTCTCCTCTGATGGTTTTTCCCATTTCTCTTGAGTCTTACCAGCTGGATAACTCATCTCCAGGGATAAGTCAGTATAAAGCTAATTGGGGCTTGGCCCTTCTGTATTTGAAATGTGTGCAGTGTGCGTATGCTCCACCTTTTTTGTTTTCTGCTGTACTCTACCAGCTGGAAGAGTGAACTCTATGGGCAAGTGCATCCCCATGGTCCTCCTTCAACTTCAAAGCCCACCAGCCAAGAATGCAGTCAATGGAAATACATTGGATGGCCTGTCAAGCCACACTGAGGATCTCATCAGTTATGCTCTTATAGTCATTTTAACCTGGTGTTTGCCAGCCCTGCAGGTATAAGGGGAGGTTCCCCTCTTTCCTGCTCTTGCTCTTGGATCACTTGCTTCTCCTAGCCTCTCTCCCTCGTGCTGAGCCACTTGTGCGGCCATGTCCTGAACTGTGTTGTAAGAGGATCCCAGGTGAGACCCACTCTAGCAGAAAATGGTGATGGTCACTATTGCCCTGCTTGGTCTGGGTCTTGTTCTGCACTATTGCATTTGCCTGGAGAAGGAAAGGGGAGGAGGTGGAGGGATGGCCCAGGACAGGAAGGAGTGCAGGGCTGTGCTGACCCGTTCTGGCTTAGGATGTAATTTCAGGGTCAAGTAGAGAAGATACGGTCCCATCTGTTCCCACCTTTCAGCTGAGGTGCGGTAGATGTTGCCACTCTGGCTTTGGGATGCGTTAGGTGAAACCTTTGCATTTAGAGTGTCTCACAGGGCTAAGGCAGTGGAAAACAAGGAGTATATTCTTAAACAGCTCTTGCTGTTTCCTAAGCAGACGCCTGAGTGTCCCTTGGACTCGGTGGGCCCCATCCCACATGTGACTTTGCATTCTCACCTATATGGGGCACCCATTGCCATTTCTTGAAGTGATGGGTGATCCTTCAAGGCATTGCACGGCATCAGTGCAAGAAGACTTCAATACTGGATCAGAACACTTCCACTTGATGAATTCTCCATTGTTAAAAGCAAAAACCACTTTCAGCAACATTTGAATCTGCTCTTTTCATTTCCATGGCGATATTTTATATTTTATTTTGCTGTTGACACTAAGACACAACTCTGCTTCTCACTGGCGTTGCCCCTGGAATGCTGCAATTAAAAAACAAGGCTGAAGGCAAAGGCATGCTTGCAGTGATTGAACTGATAAAAGAAGTAATGGAAAATTACTCCTATTAATGTTTGATTTTATACTTTTTTTGTTAAAGCCCTTGCATTTGGCTTTTCACCTAAAGTTCACAGAATAAACAGATAAGGCTGGAAAAAATCAAAGCTAGCCAACATTTCCAACTGACGTTTTTTCATTCCTCAGATGGAGACACTTTAAATGAGCCTGAATTTCTTGAGAAACTCTTCTGTTTCTAAAAATAGGGTCATTCCAACGAATTGTCTTCAGTTGGGCGTCCAAATTTTGAAACACTCCAAAAGCTGTCGGTTGCTCTTGGCTTGAAGTTTCCAACTGCAGCCCAGCAAGCATAAACTTCCTCCCCTATTTTTAAAAAACAGAGCACAAACCTGTCTTGCTTCTTATCTTTTTGTGTTTGCCCTGGCACTTTGGAAGGGTTTTGAGAATTGTTCCCATCACAACTTAGCAAAATATTGATGTATAAAATGGTACTGGGATTCATTTGCTTCTCCAAAAAAACTTTCCTGTTGGAAAGGAAATGGTTAAAAATCTCCAGTATTTGAGGAGAAAGAAAAGGAGAGAGAGAAAGAAGAGAGGAAGATGAAGGGAGGAAGACAGGACCAGCAAATGGCCAGATTGGTGATCCTGGGACTTTACTCCAGGATTGTTCCAGGGTAAAAATAACATAAAATATAAATATGAAAAAGGTTGCGTAAGTACCCAGGGTCATTCTAGCACATCTGCAGGGTTGGAAATTGGTTATTAATTCTCTGAGCAGCTGCAGGGTCAGCAGAGGGTGCCCGTGAGCAATGTATCGTTATTTGCGTCTGCTTGTTCATTTTAAAATTTTCTAGATGAAAGCAAAATAACAAATGGGCTGTTCATGTGCCTGTCACCACCCATCTGACCATACCAATTCCAGTTGAGTTTACACAGTATAAAATAAAATACAGCAGACCAGCCAACACTTCTTGTAGGCTAATTCATCTGCCTCATAGGTTTGAATCCCTGTACTTGACAGTCAGCCGTTAATGCTCCTTTCCACTGTGGGTATGGGATTTAGAAGAGATTGATCTGCACAAAGAATGTTAATTGAAGGATGAAAAAGCAGCAGCACGAACCTGCAGGTGTCATGCAACATGAAACCCTCTAAGTTCTATAGCATAGAATCATAGAATCATAGAATGGTTTGGGTTGGAAAGGGACCTTGAAGATCATCGAGTTCCAACCCCAACAGAAGAGTTGTTGAGTTCACTGGGTGAAGGATGAAGTCCAGAATGGGACTGAAGTCAACTCCTGTTGGCTGTCTTTTCTGCCTGGGAGTGAATTTCATTCCCCTGCATATGTGTTAAAGCTCTGTGAGTAATTTGGAGCCATTTTTGATCTAGTGAACTTTCCTTTTCCAGCTGCTCCCTCACATCCCCAGGCTGGTGGTGTCTCTGAAGAAGGAGGACTCCAACTCTGCCACTAGCGCCCTGGAGCAGCTGGCTGAGCTCATCCACTGCATGTTCTTCCGCTTCTCAGGATTTCCAGATCTCTACGAACCAGTCCTAGAAGCAGTTAAAGTAAGACACGTACCTCTGGACCATTTTGCCGTGTCTTAGTTTGCATCCTAGTGCAGAGGGACTGTCCTAGTGGTAGGGATGCCCTAACCTCAGCACCTCAAATTGTGCTTGAAGAAAGGGTTTAAAATTCTGAGTTTGAGCCCCATGTAGGCAAGTTGAGGGAAGAGACTCTCTTATGGTGGGCCTGCAGAAGTCCTGATCTTGCCTGTGTGTTTTAGCTATAGCTTTAATCTTGAATGCCTCTAAGGGACTAATGCTAGCAGCTAAACACTTTCTCGCATGGATGCATGTTCATGTGAAAAGTGAGGGAAATTAATTGCATGAACACCTTTAGCAGAGGCGTTTTGCAGTTGCCTGTTACTAATTATTCACGTGGAAAGATAACAATTGGTAACACAGATCTCTCTTTCCAAGACTCTTCCTATTCCAAACGAAGACCGGATTAAACATCTCTTGGGACAAAACGCTTGGACCTCCCAGAAGAACGAGCTGGCCTGCTTCTACCCACGCCTGGCATCCAAATCGGAGACAGGAAAGATTGGGTTAATTAACTTGGGAAACACCTGCTACATGAACAGCATCATCCAGTCTCTTTTCATGGCTTCGGAGTGAGTTTTTGTTTCCTTGCTCCCACCCAAGACTTTTCCAGGGGTTGCTCATCGCGCCGGTTTTCCATCTAACGGTTCGCATCTCTGCTTTTCTTTTGCAGCTTTCGGCATTCAGTGTTGAATTTAACTGAGGGCAACTCCCAACCCCTGATGACAAAGCTTCAGTGGCTCTTTGCGTTTTTGGAGCACAGTCAGGTAATTATTTCATGTTCTAGTTATTTGTTTGGACTGTCGGCTGCGGAAAGGCTCGTCTCCAAGTTGCTTCCTGCCAACTCCAATGTGCTGATAAGGAGCTGTGGATCTTGGTGGGTTTTTATAATGGGACAAATTTTTGTTTATATGGGAAAGGCTAATTTTGGGGGTGGAGGAGGCAAGCTCCTATCACCCATGAAAGCGAGCTGTGTTCACACCAGGCTGCCTGTCTTCAGCCTGTGGTCTTTCTGGTTTGGACTGATGTAATAACTAATAGTTTTGACAACGCAATCCATTCGGTAATGGTTTACATATGTGGCCAGCTGAAAAGCCTGTTGGTAGAAAGCAGAGGTTTTTGTTTCTTGCTGTGCAGCAAGGAAGAAGAGTAGAGCAGCTCGCTTATCCCCGTGGTTCCCAGCAAAGCAAAGGCAATTGATGAAAATTGCCTTAAAAGTGGTTTTGTTAAAAAAAACCAAAAACCACAATGCACAAACCACCCCCCACTTTAGATTCCAAATCCTCTGTATTTGAGGGGAGCTAAAAAAAAAAAAAAAATATAACACCCTTAAATTTCTTATGAACGCTTTCTTGATAAACCTGAAATGAAACCTGGGTGACGCCTGGAGATACAGGTAGGTCGTATCTAGCTCCTCTCCTGAAAATATATCTTTCTGTCACTAGAAAGACATGGTTTTGAAAGTCCAGTGAATTTTCCCTCCCTGTGAAACCAGTCATTTGGGCTTCTCCATTTTCCAAGCCTTGATTGATAGAGCTGGCTTGTTGCATTGTGATATTATGTTGTTACAGATGACTTTTGGGGGAAAAATATAGACAACCTTTTAAATTTAATATTTGGTCAGAGGAGAGGCTAGTTTTTGATGTCAGATTAGGGTGTCGGTGATCTGTGATGAGCAAATACAGAAGCATATTTGTTGTGTAGTTTATGGTTAGTAGTTTCCTGCTAATTTCCTAATAGCCTTCTAGTTATTTTTCTTCTTCGGGCTGTTTTTAAAGTCACTTCTTTGCTGAAGATGGGTCTTTTTCCGTGTTGATTAGACAGCAGCTTCCTATCAGCAGTGATTACATTATCTGGTAACGCAGATTACCTGCCTGCAGTGATCAGAATGACAGGTGGAAGTTTAGTGGATTTTTTATTATTTTTTTTTTTAAAGAAGGGATTTTGTGAGAGAGATCCTGATCAAATTAAATGGAGCATCAAATTAAATTCAGGCTGAATTAAGTAGAACTTGTCTGCGTCAGGCCAATAAACCATTTTAAAATTGAAGGAAGAAATAAACATGTGGATATTTTATAGAAGTATATATAACATAATGGCTGAAATTCATCTTTACAGTCCTGGCTTCCAGCAAACCAAGAAAATTTTCCTGTGCACTGGGATTATCCCTTGTAGGGGAAAAAAAGGGGACCTTGTCAGTCACACAAGCTCATCCTGAAGCATCCAGAAAGACCCTCCTCTACCCTCTCCATCCTCCTAATGTGAAATAAAAACCAGATCCCCCAGGTTAAAAACACTTCTCCTTCTTCTGTTTTGCTGCCAGAGACCTGCCATCTCACCTGAGAGTTTCCTCTCTGCCTCTTGGCCACCTTGGTTCACGCCTGGCGCTCAGCAGGACTGCTCGGAATATCTCAAGTACTTGCTGGACCGGTACGTGGCAAGCGCCGTGATTTCGGTGCCTGGTGACAACAGCACTTTGGGGTGAAAGATGGTGAGACTGGTCTGGAGCTCCTTGACAAAACCCTGTTTGGGCTGGCTTGGGGGTAAGGTCAGAACTTCAGGTTCAGCTTGAAAATTTCTCCCTTTGCTCTGAAGGCAAAGGGAATTGCACCAAGATCAGAGATTTGCCTGACAAGCCACTTGACCTCCTCCATAAAATTGGTTTTGCCTTTCTCTTATCTAGAAATTCTGAGTCTCTGGTGTCCCAGCGATCCCCCTAGAAGTGAGGGGTCAACGGCACACAGAGACCTCAGGTTCCCAAATCCTGCCCAAATCCTCCCCACCTGCACATGGCACCAGATCCCTGTGCACTGGAGGATTAACCCAGATTAACCCCTTCAAGTGAAGAATAGAAACCCTACTTTAGAAACTACCTCTTGGTGTTGTATCAGTGCATAACACATTTTTTTTTTCCCTGCCGAAGGTTGCATGAAGAAGAAAAAACCGGAAAAAGGATCTACCAGAAACTGAAAGAATCCAGCTTGATGTCTCAGGCAGTGGAGCACCATTACTTAAACAAGACACTGATTGAGAAGATGTTTGGGGGTAAAATGATGACAAAGATCCGCTGCTTGAAGTGTCTGAATGTCTCTTCCCGAGAAGAAGCCTTCACAGACCTGTCGCTAGCTTTTCCTCCGCTGGACAGGCGTGTGCGCGAGAGCACGTCTGTTTTACCGGTGGAAGAAATCGGCCCACAGTATATTGAGCCTCCTGAAAACTTGAACCAGCTGATGGGGTCTCCCTGGATCCTGAGGAAGCCCCCCAACGCCAGAGACCCTGCAGCCCCACCAATGCCAGTGGAAACATTGGGTTTCCAGGAGCCAGAAGAATTGGCAAATCCCTTAAGCGCCAATGCTGTTGGCACGGATGCAGCCAAAGACCCTCTCCCGGCTTTTGGGGAGCAGGCATGTGCTCCCAAAGACTCCAGATCCGTCCTGGATTTAATCAACTATTTTTTATCCCCGGAGAGATTGACAGCAGAGAATAAATACCACTGTGAGAAATGTGCTTCCTTGCAGGACGCCGAGAAGGTGGCAGAGCTGACGGAGGGTCCACACTACCTCATCCTCACGTTGCTGCGCTTCTCCTTCGACCCACGGACCATGAAGAGGAAGAAGATCTTGGACAATGTCTCCATCCCCGTGGTGCTCAAGTTGCCTGTCCTTGTCACCCCGGAGGACACTGAGGAGATTTGCCAGCATGGGAAGGACAAGGCTGCCCCGGGAAGTGGTTTCGTGTCTGTCGTGTACGACCTCTGCAGCGTGGTGGTGCATTCAGGCATCTCCTCCGAGAGTGGTCACTACTATTGCTACTCGAGAGAGTGCACTGACACCGTCCCCCACGGGCAGCCCCGGGATGGGGAGCCAAAACCAGCCTCCGACAAACAGCTGGACTTTGAAATCCAGTGGTACCTCTTCAACGACACCAGGGTTTCCTTCTCCTCCTTCGAATCAGTCAGCAACGTCACCTCTTTCTTCCCCAAGGACACTGCCTATGTCCTCTTCTACAGGCAGCGGCCGGGCAGGCAGAGCTGCCCGCTGCACGAGGCTCTGGCTGAGGCTGGCCGCCTGCATGGCGAACCCTCCCTCCATAAGGACTTGATGGAAGCCATTTCCAAAGATAACATCCTCTACTTGCAGGTAACTCCCGTTGCTGCGCACAGCAGGGCGCGATCCTGCGGCCCACGGGCCACGTTCCCACCCATCCGGGCAGCAGCAGGGTTGCGTCCTGTGGATAAATCCATGTGGCCAGATACCTGCCTGCTCCCTGAAGCCAAATCCCTTTTTTGTTTTTAACACCCACATATAAGCAGATTGTAGTTTCCCAGTGAAATTGGGCATTGAGGTTGGTGCAAGACATCCCATGGCCATACTCGGGGTTGACTTGCTGTTGCCTGCCCCAGGCAGCTCTGCCTGAAATTTTCTCCTAAGTGCCTGGGAAAGATGGGCAAGCTGGGAATGCAAACCAGAGCAGATTTTATTCAACTAGTGGAGTTCAACACTTTCCAAACAGCAGTGTCCCGTCGGATTTGGGACTGGAACAGGTTGCCCAGAGAAGCTGTGGATGCCCCATCCCTGGAGGGGTTCAAGGCCAGGCTGAATGAGGCTTTGGGCAACCTGGGCTAGTGGGAGGTGTCCCTGCCCATGGCAGGGGGGTGGAACTCGATGATCTTTAAGGTCCCTTCCAACCCAAACCATTCCATGATTGCTTCTATGTGAGCAGCATGGGGGAAATTTGAGGGGTCCCTCGTCTCCCAGAGGTGACATGGAAGGGTTGTTTTTTGATTGCTGGAGAGATGCAATGCTTTACTCCATAGATGAGAACATGTCCTGGTCACCCTGGTTTAATTTGGAGGAGGCTCCCAAGGGTGACCAGACAATCTTCCAGCTCCTCAGGGAAGGTGGGAGCATCCCCCCCACCCAGCTCATTTAGCCACAGATAAGGGCAACATCCTAGTGTTATTTCTCCTCCTTCTTTCTCCCAGGAGCAGGAAAAGGAAGCAAGGAACAGAGCCGCCTACATTTCCACCTTGCCGAAATCACCGCTGTGGTGGAGAGACTTTGACAGGGACAAGGATGATGACAACTCATCGGGGGGCTGCAGCCCAGCAGCAGGCGGGGGTGGATCCGGCTCCTTTCACGGACTTGTCTTCTAGCCACCAAGTTAAACCAGACAGTCAATGTCCATGGGGCCAACCCAAAGCCAGAGGCTCCTCTTCCTCGCTCTGATGATACTGAGCATCTTGGAGGAGGATTTGGGGAACATTTCAATGGAAAAGGACTCAGTGGCTGATTTGGAGGCGCCTGGAGGGTCCCACCGCTTCCTATGCACTTGGTCTTCACGCCTTAATGTAACTAAGCTAACGCGGAGATGAGCAGCTGCCGACAGCTCGGAGAAGTGCCCTTTTGCTTCAGCGTAGCCATGTCTTGCCTGCTGTGAGCCACGCCACCAGCCTGGGGAAGGGACAGGGACAGTGATGGAGATGGAGATGATGGAGATGATGAAGTTGGAATAGTGGGGCCCCAGGGATGGAGATGTTCCATGCTCATCCCATCTGCAGCCCTTCCTGCGACTGAATCAGTTTTTAGGGGGACCTCTGCTTGGTTGTTGTTTTTATTTAATGTGGTTTTGAGAATCCACCTTGACACATCTCTAGAGGTGGAAAAGGACTGAAAAAAAGCCAAGCAGCCAATGTGGCAACAATGATCTGCTGGAGTGGTGAGCCTGTAAGTCTGCTTGGTTGCAGCAAGTGGTAGCAGGTCTACCAGAGGGGTTTTGTGCAACATTACAAAGGACCCAGAAGAGGCTGAGGGCCACAAACCCCTCCAGTCAAGAGGGACTGACCTGGTCCAGTTGGGGTTTTTTGGGCTTCAGTGAAGCCCCACTGTGTTACTGGTGACCTCAGGATGCTGCTAGTGTACACAGCAGGCCCAGACACACAGCTGTTTTCCCAGATGTGTCTTTAGGATGTGGTTAGTCTCTTTCTGGTGTTGTCATCTCATAGCTTTCTGGATGGATCTGTCCTTTAGAACTTGGGCTTTCTTTTGGGATTCCTTGAGCTGAGCAGCAAATGACAGAGCCCTCCCTAAACTCACTAGCTATTTTTTTTTTAAATGCTGATTTGCAAGGAGAGTAACCCAAACAGATACATCATATATGTAAATACCTACTATATAAACCAATGTATTATATAAATCAGTAATAGGACAGGGGCTGATTTTGGTGGCAGGAGACCATCTCAAGCCCTGGACAGTGTGTCTAGAGGACCACATCTCCTTCCCACATCCCTCCCCAGCCGTTGTCCCTGTCTGCTCCTCCCTTGTGCCTGTAGTAGAGATTTCTCTAGCTCAAGTGGCAGAGACTTGTGCCTTAGGTCCAGGGTGCAGGGCCTAATCCTGACCATGGGGTATTGGGGTGGGAAAATGGTGTTGCTGTGGAGGAAAAAGCAAAGAATAGACATTGCTACGAATAATGCAAGCAGAAAGTCTGCTAGAGAGAGGACACTTGGGATCAAATCTCTGGTGTATACTATCATATTCTTTTATTGCCTTTCCTATATCTAAATAAAGGAAATTAATTAATTCAACGTAGAGGCTTAATGTCTTAATGCAATACTCACAGCTATTGGGCTGATGGGTCAAATAAGAGACAGAGAAGCTGATGGGAGATGAGCATCCAGCCTCATGGACGTGGGACAACCTCGCAGAGTGGTGGCTTGGGAGATGCGAGCAGAGGTGGGATGGGGACCCCAGCCTGGAGCTGGGTGGCCTCTGAATAGCGATCACAATCCTATTAGTGGGGTTTTGTAGACGAGCAGTGGAGTGTGTTTGTTGTATTTAAATCCCCTAGACTGAAAGCAGTGCCAAGAGGAAATTAATCTGGACCCAAAGCTGAAGTTATACAAAGAGTACAGTATTTCCTGGTATTATTAATAGATTTTTATGAACCTTCTGTCCAAAGAGGTTGCCGAAAGCATTCGTGTTGCTGTCATGCCAGCTCCTTGCTTCGTGCTGGAATGTCACCTGGAGGCATTTTCTGGGCCGTGTGCTGGAAGGTGCTTTTGCAGGAGACGTTTCTCTGCCTTGATGAGATCCTAATCTAAATAATCAAGGCAGATAATCAGCCCAATGTGAAAACGGAGCAGCTGTATCATAGCTATGCTCTTCCCTGAATATGTCTTTTTTTTTTCCCCCAAGATTTTCCGAGATGAGCAGAGACAAACTGCACGCAGTGCTCAGCACAGATGGCAGCCTGGATAGTTTCAATGGTATAAGGAGGTGATCTGCTTCAGTGTCTGTTCATTTCTTATAATTCTTAGCATTGGGCTTCCCTTTTGGATTCAGCCCTGAACCTCTGTTTTCACAGCATTACCTACAGATGCTCCACCGCACTGCTCTCAATCCATTCATCCCCCAGTCTGTATTGATACTGGGGATTGCCCGGACCGGTGTGCAGGACCTTGCACTTGGCCTTGTTGAACTTCATGAGATTCACACGGACCCACTCCCCAAGTCTCTCAAGGTCCCTCTGCATGGCATCCCTTCTCTCTGGAATATCAACCACACCACTCAGCTTTGTGTCATCTGCAAACTTGCTGATGGTGCACTCAGTCCTACTGTTTGTGTCATTGATGAAGATATTAAATAGTACTGGTGCCAGTACAGACCCTTGAGGGACACCGCTCATTGCTGATTTCCACTTGGACCCTGAGCCGTTGACTGTAACTCATTCAATGTGGCCATCCAGCCAATTCCTTATCCATCTAAAGGTCCATCCATCAAACCCATATCTCTACAGTCTAGAGGTAAGAATGTTTTGGGGTACTGTGCCAATGGCCTTACAGAAGTCTAGTATAGCATTAGTATAGTACAGTACTATCTATGCTATACCAATTATAGTATATACTATATTTATATTAGTGTTTGCAATAACAGTAATATTTGTATATGGTATATTGGTAAAGTATATACTATAGTATATACCGTAGTATGGTCCATAGTGTCACACATGCCTCTGGCCAAGTAGAGCCTGTAGGGGAGTCCTAAGCTCCAGGTTTGGGATCCCAGATGTGCTGCAGATGTGAGGCGATGTTGCTCTTGCCTAAAAAAGGAGGTTACAGGGTACAGGGGCCATGCTGTAGGGAGATGTCTTTCCCCAGGTGTCTTTTTTTTTTTTTTTTTTTTTTTTTTTTTTGAAGGAGGGAGGTTTGAACTTTTAACTCTGGGGAAAAAGATTTGGTTTTGTGCTTAGGTTTTATGGGTGATTTGGTGTCCTGAGCTGAGGCTTACCAGGTGTTGAGCTGCTAGTGGGCGAGGAAGGCAACATTTGTCCTCACCCTGTAGACATTAAAGTGTATCCCTGGAGCAGATACATAGCATGAAATTCACTTTAGTGGCTGAAAAACACATGATTTGGGTTCTGGCACGAGGAAAAACACTAGCTGCATCCTAAAGGCCCTTATTGCACAGACAGGACACTTGAAGCTGTAGGAGATACTTGGCTACATGCTGGAAAGATGCTCTGAAAGCTTTAAAGGTGCTGCATCATTCAACTTGATGCAGTCATTCATTCCCCTGTTCGCTCCCCACTCCAAATCCATGCTGGGAGTCACCAGTGAGAGATGTCTTTTTATTATCATTCTTTTATTTTCCCGTTGCTTTCCTGCTGCACATACAGTACTTAAAAAATGAGATCACCTTCACGTCAGCCATGTACCATGTTTATTAACAGCAAAAAAAAGTATTATCTAGGCTTCATTCAAGACCAATTTACAGGATAAATAATTGTTTCAAATTACTTAAAAAAAACCAAACAACAAAACCCCAAAGAATAAATTAATAACTTAAGTGATTAGCTGTCCACAGTGATTTGAAAACTTAATAACCATTTAAACAGTGACACCACAAGAAGACACGTACTGTACAGTTTGCCACAGAGTACTCTTGTCCTTCCTTCTACAAATGGAAAAAAAAATTAAAAATACTCCTCTTTAAGAACAGTCATAGGCTTTGAAACACACAAAACATCCCTGCGAATTGGGATGGCTTCAAAGCCGGGGCTCTGCCCCTCCCTCGCAGCAAGCTAAGAAACAAATGGAGAAAACTACCCTAATTTACCTGGGTCCGTTCCTACGCAACAACGCCCAAAGTCAACGGGGACCCATTGACTTTGCTAAGGGCTGGGTTGAGTGGGACATAACTACTTTAAAGGTTTGGTCCTAACCCTATAGGATTCATCAGTGGGCTCCCCACAGAGCCCAGGGTCCTGCTCCCTTCCCCTCTCCATGATGTGCTTCAGCCACCACGTCCATAGGGCTCTCCAACAAAACGTGGTATTTTCAGGGTCAATGTGGCAGCAGAATTCTGAAACTGTGCAAATGGCTTTTCCCCTATCCCCTCACTCAGGAGTAAATCCCGACAAGATTTTTCCACCTTGTTAATTAAGGACAAGGGGTTTTTAATGAGTTTTGCAGAGCAGGATGTGCAATGTTGTGTGTGATGCTGGGCATGACAACGGGGTAGCACCACATGCCGCCCAGCCGTTGCATGCAGACTCAAAGCAGCTCTTTGCATTATTGTCAATTCATTACACCTCACGACACATCTGTGAAGCGGGGAAATAAGTAATAAAAGTCTTCATTTCACAAGCCGGAAAGAAAGTGAGATACAGAGAGTGCAAATGAACTCCCTCGTCCCACCTGAAGATAACGTGTGTCACCCGAAGCACGACAATAAAAGTGATGGCTTCTTCTGGGCTTGGGACAAACCTCTCCCGTACAGTCAACCCACTGGCCTACAAATGCACCCCTTGTATGTTAGCAATGGGCTGCATCAAAAATCAAGAACCCGCTGATTGAAAGCAAGTCCATTGAGAAGCTCTTTGAGCTCAAGAGATGGAGCAATGTGGCCCAGCTCCTGCTCCAGATGTTGCTGGCTGGTGTTGAAATTTGGACACCATGTGCCAGGACTGTCTGGCCATGGGTTGGTGGCAGGAGAGCTGTTTGGTGACACCTTGCTACTTATCAACTTTTCTCAAGAGCAGCCACTGAAGTAGCAACCTGATTAACAGTGCAACTCTAGGAGTTGCGAAAAAGGAGATAAAATTGCGACTACAAGGATGAGGCATCAAGGACAACCTGATGGAGGGATGAACTAC